TTTCTGTAACTGCAAGCAAAAGTGGTGTATAGCCTTCCTGCAAAACCATATTAAAATATTGCTATAGTATGCATGAATTCTATATATACTTCAGTTTACCTTAAGGCATTTTGTGAACATCCTGTGAACTTGCTAATGACATGTTAAGAAAGTATGGTACAATGGAACTTTGAAGTGAGAAGACCAGGGCATAAATCCTGCTTCTGTTAGTTAATTCCTGCATGGTCATAAGCAAATTATTTCACTTCTTTGGGCCTTAGTTTCCTCATATGTAAAATAACAGAACGAAATTAGATAGCCTCTAGGATTCCTTCCAGCTATTAATTTGTGATCAGGACATCAGAAACCCAGGATTTGGAAGACTTTAATATTATTTCAGGAGTATCTTCCTTTCTTACTATCTTCATGTCATGATCAATTATTATCTTCATGCAGCCAACCTTATTTCCCTAGTACTCTGCCAAGCTAAAGCTATACTCTGTTCAGTTTTAAAGTTGCCTAGTTCTCTTTACACTTTCCCCTCCAATATGTGCAACCAACCTCAAAACTCAAGAAAATCTTGCCTCAAGGTGGTTAAACCTAGAAGAAAGTCATTCTCCTGGCATTTTCCCTCTTTTCCCAGCTCTACTAATGTGTACTTTATGTTTTTTGTCTCTCAAGTGACAGTGACTAAGAATTAAAACATTTTTTAAAAATCAGGAGTTATTCAGTAGCTTTAGAAAGGAAACGGTATAGTTTTTAGGAAATAGAAAAAAACATATATGCTTAATAATTTGTTCTTGTGAAAATTCTGTGTCTGGTTTTGTATCTTGAAAGAACAAATTTTAAAAAGATTTTTTTAAAAAAATGTATGGCATTTCTACATGACAAATTAACATTGTGTTATCATATGTAAAGGTCTATATGTAGAAAACCACTGTAGGCAAACATTGGGTGGAAGCATTGCATTCTGGGAAGCAGACCTAATATATCATGCAAAGAAAATTTTAGAGAAACAACTACCATAGAATGGAAAGAGAGCTAGCCTCAAAGTCAGTAAGACCCAGATTCAAGGCCTGCCACTGACCCACATATACTGGCAGGGTGAACCTGGGAAGTCACTTAATATTTCAGTACGCCAGGACACTGCCTAAGACAGGGTTTCTTATCTTATTTTGTGTCATAGACCCCTTTCCAGAATAATGTTTTTAAATGCCTGACATATAGAGAATGTCAAGTATACCAGTTACAGTGAAATAACTATCGAGTTATTATTGTTTTTTAAAAGTTATTGTATCCTGTGTTAACAATCCCTAGTCTAAGATTAAATCATAGAGCAGGCCCTGGTCTAACTCAAGTAAAGTTCCTCATTAGAAAGTTCGCTGTGAATGAAATCTCCTCCCTTGTTCCCCGTCCCTCCCCCCCAATTAGAAAATTCCAAAGGCCAATGAACTTTGACTACAGAATTATTTTGAGTTATTTTCATTAAAGAAATGCTTCCACAAATATATGAATTATAAAATATGTGAATTGGACACCACCTGATTACACATTGTATGTCATAAAATGCTTTAATATACAAGAGGTGAGCTTCTACCTTGTTTTTTGCTTCAATTGCTGCTTTATGTCTCAGCAGCTTTGCTGCTATAGCTGTGTTTCGTCCAGAGGCAGCATAGTGAAGCGCAGTGTTGTTGTTGGCATCCACAAGATTAGGGTCTGCTCCATGTTCGAGCAGGATAGTAGCACACTCCTCCTGCTGACACTCTACTGCCTGTGAATATAATATAGAGAAAGAGACAATAAGTACTCTAAGATAAAATTTAGTATGCAAAAACATCATTATTTATCATTATTATGACTATCATTAAATATCATTATTATGATATTTAAATAAGTTAGTAAAGCATATATACTCAATCAAAGAGAGAAGTCAAAACATGTTACATTGACCAGCATGGTTAACTAATGCTTACCTTAATTAAAGGTGTTTGGCTGTTATTGTCACGCAGGTTTAGATTACATTTTCTCTCTACTAAGAGAGAAACAACATCTGGATATCCATTAGCACAGGCAAGGTGTAGAGGCGTCCTGTGGAAATGAGAGATCTATGTGATTGCTTGATAATGTACCACAACAATCAAAATTGTATAATTATTAGTTAGTATATTTTCTAACATAAAATTAATTATTCTTGTGCCTGAACTCTAAATCACTGCCAAAATAAATATAAGTGGCCCCTGTCACCCAAAGAAATATAAAATATACTTTAGCTCTTATTGCTGGGTATGATGGACAAAATTGCCAGGGGGAAAATGACAGCAGGTTGATTAAGATGTCACCACAGATTGACATGGAAACTCTGCTCAGTTTCTGATCTGGGCTGGTTTACCTCTCCCTTGGCAACTTGATGGCTCCTTGTACTTTGGGACTCAACATACTGATACCAGACTTAGTGCAGACACCCTATTGCCATAGCCCACCAGCTCAAAACTCATGAGTTCAAGAGATCTGCCAGCCTCAGCCTCATTGGTAGTTGGAATTACAGGTGTGCATCACCCTGCCTGGCTGTTAGGCCTAATAACAACTTCTTTCTACTAGAATATCCATAATTGCAAAACATTTAGTAAAGCAGCTGCCTCAGAAAAAACATTTACATATTTGCATATTGTGTATTTGTACAAGCACATGTGCCCACGTGTGTGCATTCTCCACCTAAGTTTTACTGCAATGTAGCATTGGACAGTTGAAGTGGATTTGTGCTGCTAAAGGCTATCCCAGCTGGGTGCAACTTTGGTAGTTCTACCATGTTGGTAAGATTTGAAGAAAGAGCCTGGTACTTTTGATGTCCACAGACCAAGCTAACTAAGGTCCTAAAGATATCACCAGGTTGGTCAAAGGAGGATGAATAGTTTATCAACAGCCAATCTCAAAGACTATCTTTGTTGTTCTGTTTTTTCTGTCATATTTGACTCTTTGTGACCCT